AAGTGATGGGATGTAAACCAGGAGAGTCATTGTGGAAATCAGTGTGGAGGCTTCTCAAACATTTACAACTAAAATTAACCAGATGATTCAACTGTACCACTGGGCATCCTCCCAAACTCCCAGTTCACCACAGAGACGCATATATTATACTTATGTTATTGCTGTACATTTCACAACAGCAAAGAGGAGGAACCAGTCATCAATAGATGGCCATCAACAGATGAAGGGACATGGAAATTGTGGTCCATTTACACAATGGGTTTTTACGAAGCTGTAAAGAAAAATGAAAATTTCAGGAAATTGGACAGATCTGAAAAGTATTATATTAAGTAAGGTGACCCAAATTCAGAAAAATCAAAAGCAAAAACCAAAAACAAACAAAAACCCTCAAAAACCAATGAAACAAAAAGCCATGTTCTCTATGTTATGGAGATCCTAGCTTATAGTACATATACCCATATATGTGAGTATATGTGCGTGTGCGTGGCTTGTGTTTGTGTGTGTGTGTGTGTAAATGTGAGTAAAGCTTAAAAACTAGAAGGGGGCCAAGGGAAGACTAAAAGTGGTGCTGAGAAAGCTGGGTAGGAAGGGAAAGAGGGTAAAAGTGACATGAGGTGAGGGAATGATGCAAGGGGCGGGGAGGGATACAGGCAGAAGAATCCACCAAAAATAATTTTGTTTGAAAATGCCACAATAAAATCTAATGCTTTGCTAATTGCGGAAACCAAACTAACAAAAAATCAATTAGTGAAATAAAATTAAGAAACGAACCAAACCCAACCAGCCAATAAAGCAACCTTAGATATATTACACAAGTTTACCACCCCTCCTTTATCCCAAAACATGTACAACTTTTTAGAGAGGAGAACTCCATTGATAAGCGAATGTCAGACTGGAACGGTTATTATCTGATTCTATCATGCCAGCAGTGGGAAAATGAATAGGGTATATGGACTGACCTCTCTCATTTGACCTCAGAGAGAACAGCTGTGCTCTAGGATCATGGCGGACAATTTTCCCTCCAATAAAAACTTAAAATGAGCAAAGATATTCTATAACTGTCACCAAAGCAGTTAAAATATCAAGGTTGGCCATACATTGGCCATCCAGAAATAAGCATGGACTCACAGAGTAGGGCACATTGCTGAGGCTTTAGTTTGACCATCTCCTATCAGTTTTAGGGAGGATCTGTTGTAAATTCATCTTCAAAGGAATCAGGTAATGTCTGGGTATCATTCTACCTGCCTTTAGCTCCCACCTCTCCATGAGTTGATACTTTTCACACCATCTATTTTATCTTTACTTCAGTATTAATCTAAATAGTGGAAGTTCAATTCAACTCATTGAATTGAGGCCATTGTTGCTTCCTTGAGCTTAAGTAACTTATAGATGGCCTTTTCATGCTATAGCAATTACAAAATCTCAAGGTTAATTATTTCTACTTTTTGTGATGCCTCCCATCAAAGGCTGGCTGTTGAATCCAGTACACAGTCCATACTGGTGGACACCCAAGGTCCCCTAGGTTGTTCAGAATGTACTGGTTTAATTCCAAAGGTCCCTTATGTTGTTCAGGATATACTCCAAGCTGTTCTGTCCCCACTTGCTGAAAGGATTCTAGTTCTCATCACCAGGATTAGAATCTTTGTGGCACCAGGCAACTCAAGACGCTGCTGGGAGATGAAGATAAATCACCATCTCACATTCATACAGTCTTGCTGGTGTTTCCAGTTATTCTGCACAGTTCAATGCCAGACTGATTCTGCTCCCCAGGTACACATTTTACAAATAAGACACCTTCTTGTCTTGTTATCTGAATTTTAGCATTTTTTCATAAAAGCACAGTTAATAGTGATTAAACTAACATCTGCATTTTAAAGCATCCTTAATGTAAACATCATCATCATCATCATCAACAACAACAACAATAAAAGGTCTGAAGAAGAGAAAAATTGAGATAGCTTCCTGGAACAAAATAATGGTCCTCACTCTCATCATTCTTGCTCATGTAGTCCTGGATATCTTGGCCAGAGAGATTAGACAAGAGAAAGAGACAAAGACAGGGAAGAGAAAGTGAAGTTATCCTTGTTTGAGGATGACATGATTGTTTATGGAGAAAACAGTACCAAACCCCACCAAAAATGGTTGAAACTAATAAATGAATTCAGTAAAGATCTAGAACCAAAATTGACAAGCCTTTTTATATACCAGTAATGAATGGCTGAATTTTTTTTTTTTTTTTAGGAAATCTTCTCTGAGGAAGGATGGGGACTATACTTCTTTTTTGGTATAATGATAAACATTAAAATGTAGTTAACGATTTTGCTAGTTTAGTTAAGTGGTGGTTGTAGGTTGTTCTCCAAGATTTATAACTTCATTAGCTTTGGGCAATTGGCTAGGTTTTCAGTAACAGGCACAATTTTCCTCATGCTGAGTGGCTCTTAAGTCCAATTAGAGAGTTGCTGGCTACCACCAAGGTGTATGTGGCACTACTAAACCCTTAGGATTATCATGCCATATTAGTTCTTGTTGTGATTTATAGACTTCATAGTTGTGCAGGATTGTTGGTGAAATCCCATTTAGAACAATCATATCTGAAATTTCACAGAAATACATTACTCAGAAATAAATTTTACTAAAGAAATAAATGAGGGCTAGCAACTTGGTTCATAAGACAAAGAAACTTCCACCAAGATTGACAATCTGAGTTCAATACTCAGGACATACTTGGTAGAAAGAGAGAACTGACTCCTGTAAGCTGTCTTCTGACCTCCAGGCATGCACATATGTACACACCCACAGAAACAGACAAATAAATGTAATTTAAAAATCAAAAGAAAGAAGTAAAAGAACCCCACAATGAAAATTATAAAACAATGGAAAAATTATAGAGCTCACATACAAGAAAACAAAGTCATCCCATGCTCATCAACTCAAAGTATTGATAAAATGTTTATCATGGTCCCAGTTGGTAGATCTGCTTGGGAAGGATCAGGAGGTGTGGCCTTGTTGGAGAAGGTGTGTCACTAGGGGTAGGGTTTGAGGCTTCAAACTCAGCAATTCGCAGTTAGCTCTCTCTGCCTTATGGTTGATGTTTCAACATGTAGGCTCTCAGGCAAATGTCAGTTATGGTGATTTGGTCATGGTACACTACATACATACATCAAATTATAATAGTATACCTCACAAGTAAGTACCGATGTCAAACAAAGCCTTTAGAGAAATAGTAAAATGAATTTAAAAATGGCTGTAAGCACCACTTGCTTTTAATCATATAAATTTCAGACAAATGGAAAAACATGTGACAGGAGAGTATACAATCCAGACCCAGCTTCACCCTGTCCCTCAGAATTTGTCTTGACCTGGGTGGTAGCCACATGGGCATACAGATATGCAATAGTCTAGATTCTACAGATGAGAAAACCCCTTAACTCTAATGTTTATACATTTTATGCCATAAGTGCTGTATTTCAATTAAAACATAAGAATAAATCCCCCCCCAACTGAAACATCAGAACCTATAGTATCCAGATTCAAAGATTTCCATATAGCATCTTTACATTAAATCATACATGCACGACTTCAGTCACTGAGGGTGCAAAGACAGCATGGTGGGGCTCTGCAGTATGTTAAAGAACCTCTATAAAATGGTAAGGCAAGAGTGGTTATCATTAAGTTAAAGAACGGCATTCCATTAGAGTCTGCCAATTAGCATGTTACTGTTGACTGTCTTTTGTACTGTATCCCAAGCCAACATTATTCATGTCTTTTATTCCCTGCACATCTAGCACTCTCATAATGTTGTAGCATTTCCTTGCATTTTACTATTTAAGTGCCTACCCTGCTTTGCTAAAATGGAAACCTTTTAAAGATGTGGGTAAGACATTATTCCTCTAGAGTTTTTTTTTTCTTCCCAATTTGGCATAGTGCATGGTATACAGTAGATATTCAGGAGATGTTTATCATCAAATGATCTGGATATAAATGATAGCAGGCCATTTAACTCCTACCTATGGAAACACTAAGGCCAGGCTCATCTGTTATTTCAACAGTGTGCTTTGATTCTTTTTAGCTCCCAGTAAATCCACCACATCTTAAATTCAGAGTATTCTTTTAGTCCCGTTTTAGAACTGCCTTTATTTTCAAGACAGGAAAACAAACAGTCCAAACTCATTTCTCTGTGTTAAGCTAACATGGGGATTAAAAAAATAATACGGCTCTGTGATTTTCACCCAACTAGGAGAGGCTATTTTGGAACTGTGTGGACTTTAGATATTTGAAGCAGTAATTACTTCCCCCATAAATGTTACCTTTTAGAGTCAAATACTATTTTCTCACTGCACTTCACATTTTCCTTAAAGGAAAACATCTTCTATTCAGGGTTGACTGTGCTGTGTTACTCTGTGTGGAAACTCTCCTTTTCATTCATGTAGATGGCAATGTAAAGTCCGTCAGTCAGGGCAACAAGGGCAGTAACTTACACTTCATTAAATTCTAGGCTTTACATGTTCTACATCATTGAATACCCATGAAATATTATGGTGTGATTTTATACACTGTAGTTCTGCATATCATCATATCATCTCAGACAACGTCTTATCAATCCATCCATCCATCTATCCATCCATCCGTCTATCCATCCATCCATCCATCCATCATCAAAGTTTAGAGATTTTCTAAGAGTATGTGGTTTGATCAGGATAACAACACAGGAAAACTCATCTCTACATTTTACATCCTTGCCTGTTTAAAGTTCTGCAACAGAATTCATGGACCATATTTTGCATAATTCTGGATTCAGGGCTTACTTTAGTGAACTACTTATGTAACCATTTTAAAAAATAAACAGGATACATTTTTTTAGGGTGATGCTTCAGTAAATAGTATCAAACTAATACAGCTAAGACTCCCATAGTCTTCTTTCTACACCAAATAGAGAGCTAGCAATGCTTACCTCATGTTCACCAACATTGATTATTGTTCTGGGAATTTTTACAACTTACCGTGGCCTTGGGTTTGGTTCCAGAATTGCTCCCTGGAGTGGATGATGGATCGGTGGAATCAGGGTTAGAAGACAGAGTCACCTGTGTCTGATTTACTGAGATACTATCTGTTCCACTTTCGGATCCCGATTCTAGATCCTGTTAAAAAAACAAATGCACAGCCATGAAAAAAGGCACTCAAGTGCCCCCTCCATGCCCATTTCCTCCTACCAGCAGCCCTCACCCCTTATGTGGCCTCCAGTAACTCACAATATCACAATATCACAGAGGTAACAAGGTGAGGTGCCTTGCTTCCAGACTTTCTCACAGGGCCTTGTGAATACCACATGAAAACAAACCTTCCCAATCTTAGTTCACAATGTAAGTGATGCTTTTCCCTATGATATTATAAACCACCAATAGTATGGAAACTCATTTTTTGCAGATGGAATGTCATAAGAGATCGTTAGCATGTAAATGAATATGGATAGTGACATTGCTTTCATTAAGAAATGTGTGTGTGTGTGTGTGTGTGTGTGTGTGTGTGTGTGTGTGTGTGTGTGTGTGTGTGCCTGTCCACACATGGGTGTGTGAAGGATGTAATTGTAACCAAATTTTTTATGCTTGGAATGACTCCAGTTCAGCCTATTTTATGTCTTTACCTTGAAAACAAAAAACCCATATTTAATTCTAAATAAAATATGGCTCACTTGAATTTCAAGCTGAATTAATATGAAATGGATACCAACAAAAACAGGTAGTTTATAAACATTACATGTACAGGCCATGAGTGATAAGTCATTTAATTTTCCTTTTTTTAAAAAAGAAGGACCTTTTGCATTTATTTTGCCTTCCTATCCATGAGTTAATGAAATAGTTAACAGAGTAATCTTTTATTTTTTTAACCACACATAGAGGAGTATAAGTTGAAATAATTTTTTTTTTCAAATTATCAGCCTTGGGTTGTTACTTTGCACAGACCACATTTTTTACATATCTGTTTCAGCTTGCTCTTCCTGTATGGAAGGTATTATTATCATCCCTGGGGAGACAATGACACCCAGACTCAAGGCAGATCTCTGGATTAAACTCACATTCCATGGCAGAGCTGGTATTAAATCACAGGTCCTGACCTCAAGGCTCAACCTCATAAAGTAACTACAGTGTTGTTTGCTGAGGGCCTGAAACACAGTTAAAAAAGCAATTTCATAGAGCCATGGATAGAAAGGTTAGTAGGAGTCCTTTTCTCCACTACTTACTGTAAGAAATCACTGGCCAACTGTACTGAGATCTCACACTCATTCCCTCCCTACTTAAGCATCTTAGGCAAACTAAATGGTGAGGAAGACCCAAATTTTCACTATACTGCCCAATTTTGCTTTTGTAATTTATCTGATGCTCTGTGGGACAATCAAACTTTCCAGTATCATTGGTACCCTACACTTCCACCATGTCAGGTGGATGGAATGTATCCAGCTCAGAGGAGTTCTTACTGTGGTGGGTTATCCAGAGTGGTATGTGCTATGGAAGAGGTCCACATACCATTCAACTATGGCACAAAATAGTGGGAATCTTATGATTTATCCTTTACATAGATGTTCATATCACAAAGTAAGGCTTCACTGGTGATATTCACTATGAAGAAGAAGATAATGGAAGCCAGATGATTCCTAGGGAGACTATTCAAAGTGATTCAACAGGAAAAATTAAATCAATAATTTAGATAGAAGATATAAAGGGCAAAAATAAGAAGAGGGGATACTGATGTCCAAAACATGTAATTGATGAGGAGGTAATGGAAGAAGCAGTAGACATCAACGGAGTAGTGGAAGTCAACATGGAAAGCAAGCTCAAATATTAGGAATAATGCAATTACTCCTAGGATGTCAGATCCAGGGCAGGGAGTACAGAGTTAGTTGATGGGAAAGTGGCCAAGAATCAAGTCAAGGAAGATAAACTAGGTAAAAAGAATATGAAACTCTGGGTCACAAAAGGGTTCAAATAGCGAGATGCCTGACCAAAAACAACAATACTTTTGGTTTTATGTCTGAAATGAAAAAGAGCAATGCCATCTCTCTTTCTCATCCTTGTATACTGATATACTATAAACAATGTACTGCATAAAGTCTTAAACAATAGAAAGGACTTAGAATATCAAGAAGACCAAAAAACACTCAAGAATAGTGCCCAAACTCCATCAAGGGACAGTGACTTGGCTCTAGTCTATGTATTTCTTAAGAGTCCTTACGGTGTGACTGAAGTGTCCCCCAAAGATTATCAATACTGACTTGTTTACACATTCACGTGAACAAACAATTAGTGGCTCAAACTCAGAATACCTTGCTTTTGAGAAGAAAAGGCCTTGGGAAGGTTTACAATATGGCAGAATGAGAGTTGGCTTTTCTGAAAGATGTGGAAGTGACTCTCACGAGCTGTGTGAGCCTTGGCAAACTTCTCACTGCCCATCCATGTGACCTCTAACAAATCCCTCATTCTTCCTGAGGCTCACCAATGCTCATCATCAGTCCAAGAGAGGGAATGAAGCAACCCATGCAAAGCTTAGTGTGCACTGACTATTACTGCTTTCTTCTCTAGCCCCACCCCTGTCTCCCACCTGCCACTCATTCTAAGAGATCGCTATCATTAGTTAGGCCTCACAGGACTGGCACACAGTGGAGTGCTCAGACGTGGTCAAGATTTGGGGCTACAAAGTCCAAAATCAGATCTTGGGGTTTGGAGAACCTATGAGGCATAGCCAATTTGTTAGGTTTTCTCTAGGCAGCTTCATCCAAATCTTTATCCCTTCCTTTGTTTTAATGTGGACATCACATGAAAGTTGTTCTTCATCATCCCAGAATCTGTCTCTATTTATAGTCTTTATTATATAGATAAGTCTATATAATACAGTCTTTATTATGTAGCTAACTTTATTATATAGATAACTGGGAATTTTGGAAGTGTTCTTAAACAGGGTGGGCATATTAGCTAGCGGAAGAGTCACTGCTTCCTTGTGTGTCATATTCTTCCTGCTAAAGTTAAACGTGTGGTTGAGTGGGAGAGTAGGACTGAGGCAGTTTCTCCCTTGTCTCTCTCTGGGTTGGTGCTCTTCGGTGGATGATCAAGGTCAAAATCATGACATCATAGTCCTTTCATTCCATGGCACAATTATCAAAAAGAATGGGAAGTGCAAATGAGATAATATTAGCATTAGCTTTAAATACCAATGAGCAGATAGAAAGACCAGGGGTGACCAAGAAGACTGTCAAGATCGAAAAGTCGTTTTGAGGCCCATGGATATGTGTTGTTTACATCTTTCTCAGTGTCATATGAGTGTAGAAGCAAACAGAAGAGAAGCAACAGTGGCCAAGCATATTCTGTGGTAGATTCATGCAAGTCTGCTTATGTATGTTTTCTTCATCTGTCCCCCTAACTAGCCATTAGTTTAACAGTTAATCTTCATGTGTGTCTGTCTCTGACACAAACCTACCACTGAAAAATTAGACAATTTTCTTATGGTCTCAGGTAGTCAGTCATAAAGCGGGGACCCAAAGTAGACCTTCAGTCATTAACATTTGTAATGTTCCTGCTGAGCTATTTTGCTTTATTCTGACTATATTGATAAACTGAGATCTTAGAAACAGATGTTATGTTTATAGTGGCAACAATTACGGTAATAATTACATAATATTCCATTATAGTGTATGAATCATTAAAGTCCAATTTACAATTTATATAGAAGTACAAACATAGATGTAGACAAATGATCCAGTAATCATGTATATTAGTTTATATGTTTCGTTTATTTTTACTGCAAGAGAAGCAAGTCTAGCAGGCAGGGGATAGCTTACTTTTTGAAAAGGAAACAAAAATACTGTGTTTTGAGGAAACCTCACCTGTGTTTTTCTATTTAATATATAGGAACTAAGAAAAATTGAATGGAGAGAGAAGAGAGAGATTAAAAAATGTGTGAGATTGTAACAACTCACCCCTGAAAATTTTAAAAAATAAAACATACTCCAGACATGAATGACAAAGAGGTATGAACTCCAAAGGCCTCATAAAAATAAGGTATTTCTGCCTTGAAAGGTACTAGAGAAAAATGAGTGTGAACCTTTTGTCCTCTCTTCATATGTCAATCAAATTAAAGCATCCCTTCCTGTGGGCGGTTAGGACACCGCTTTAGTTGTGTTTCTCCCATTTAGATCCCCTTTCTTTTTGCTGAAATGAAACTATGTGCAAATAACTAAGCACCAAGGAGAGAAGGAGTAGGTTTTTTTCTTTTCTAGAAAGCTATTTAGGTACAACTCACTGTAAAGAAAATATTTGCAATGAGTCCTGAAGGATAAGAAAAATTATAAGATTACCAGAAATGAAAATTGCATTTTTATCAGCTTTCAAGATTCAAATCTAGCTTCATATCAATCAGATGATTAATATGATGGCTGCTCTAGAGATATCAGCTTTTCATTGTAGCCTGATCGAAGGCTATAGCCCTGGACTACACCTGGCTGGGTTTATTTCTGTTCCAACTCTGGCACATGCAATCATCAACTTCCATATACATCTTACTCATCTTGGAACATCATGAGGAATGAGTGTGGGGACTTATGTGGAACACATTGAGTACCATCCACCTTGTGTTAACTCTTGCTCCTTTACCGCAGAATCAACAGTGGAACTATACTAAGTAAGGAACTAAAAATTTCTGTTACAGTAGGTGTTCAAGCCTGCCTATGTGATATTCTACATTTTGAATCTCATATAAATATAAATTTCTTGATTCAGTTTATTCATTATTGTGTAATGAAAATTCTTGTTTAATAGAAACAGGATGTGGCTTAATTAGAGTTAAACTCTATGCTATATATGATAGATTTACATAAACCAAGCCACTTAACATGAAACTATTAATAAATATGTAAAGGGTAGAGCCAATTATAGGATCTATTCCATCTAAATTTTATTTTAGTTTGGAATCCCATTGAAGTATCTGTCATATAAACTTAATGGGATAAAATTCT